CAAAATAGCGAGCTTTACTACAATGTCAGAGCGAGGACTGGCAAAACTTAGACGTTTTCAAAACACCAACATCCAAAACCAGCAACCAACCGAGTGCGTCAAGCAAATCATTGAAATAGAAATGCATCAACATTTCTTGAGCTACGACTGCCAAGACAATACATGTCAATAATATAGACTAAGTGGTGATGGCTGGGTGCCCCAGGCACCCCGCCCGGGTAGGGACCACGCCCGGGGTACCCCGGGCATGTAAAGTAACCAGTGAGGTTTTTTTTTTTTTTTTTTTTTTTTTTTTTTTTTTTTTTTTTTTTTTTTTTTTTTTTTTTTTTTTCCTGCCAGACCTTGCTGCGCTTTGGAAGTAGGGGCCTCTTTTTTATTTTCATGCAGGTTGATTTCTGTGTGGTGGTGGGGGGGGGAGGGTGTGCAAGAGGGGGCTGGATTATGGATTGTCCATTTACAGGGTGGGGGATACATCAGCTGTTGTGTCCCACCTGTGCTGGAGTGCCACGTCAGAGGGAGGAGGGAGGACGACAAAGCGCCAAGTCCGAGGGACAAGGGAGAAGCGCCACATCAGAGGAGGGAGAGAGGACGAAGGAGCGCCACCGCAGAGGAGTGAGGGAGGAGGGAGAAGGGAGGAAGGAGGGGGCGAGGTGATGGAGGGGGCACGAGGAGGGAGGACCGCCACGTCAAAGGAGTGAGGGAGAAGGGAGAAGGGAAGGAGGGGGCGAGGTGATGGAGGGGGCACGAGGAGGGAGGACCGCCACATCAAAGCAGTGAGGGAGGAGGGAGAAGGGAGGAAGGAGGGGGCAAGGTGATGGAGGAGGCATGAGGAGGGAGGAGCGCCACGTCGGAGGGAGGAGGAGGGAGGTGAAGAAGAAGAAGAAGAAGAAGAAGAAGAAGAAGAAGAAGAAGAAGAAGAAGAAGAAAAAGAAGAAACACAGAAAGAGAAAATTTATAAAGGAAAGAAGAAGAAGAAGAACAAACGAAGGAGAAGCTCAGGATTAAAATCTGAATCCTGGATCAGTGCGCGCCGTTGATCAACGGAGATCGACAGCCAAAATCCAAGAAAGGAAAACCCTACAAAACAAGGCGCACCAGACCCCCCCAAAAAATGTACTAACTGCCAAAATGGAAGTTGGCACGTTCCGTAAAGGGTAGCAGCGCGAAAAAAGAAATTTGAGGCTTTTTCTGCCTTGGTGCGAGAGGCGCTCGGGTGCCTGCTCGGGGGGGTTCACCCGACCAGGTGCCCCGGGTGCCATTCCGGGCATGGCGGGGTACCCCGGGCGCCTGGGCTGGAAAGCTAGGTGGTGACGACTTTCAGCGTTCAATACAACTTCAGAAGCACCTCCAACTCCCAAATGAAGGTCGGAAGGCCCAAAGCGAATGAAAAACTACAAAGCTTGATGCACAGGAGGCAGCCATGACCGATTTGGCGTTGGAATATGTAGTGTAGATTTACACACAAAGCAACCTAATCCTACCATACAAAAGAGATGGTCGAAGATCCCAAAGCAATGCCCACAACCCAAACTCCAAAATAGCATGGACAAGATGTTCATAAAACTGATCAAGATAAAAGGTTTTGAAGGGCTTATTACCTATGCGCCTTATCTGTAAATGACTGGTTACATACTAGAAGAACGACATGCTCATAACTCATTTGGCTATACAGTATAGTGTATTTACACACAAAGATCCCTAATCCTACCATACAGAAGAGATGGTTGAAGATCAGAGGTGATGCTGACAGTCCAATCTCCAGAATACATATCAAGATAAACTTGAAAGTCTCAGAGGACTTATCACACTTATGGCTGCCGCATCAGGGGCTGCCCCCCTGGGTATGCCACATGTCCACGTGGCTCATTGGAAAGCATCGCTTGTGCCCCCTCTTGGGCTGTGCAGGGCCATTGGGGGATGGGGTGCGGGGGGGGCGCTGGACTCAGTTGGGAAGAGCAGGGCGGAGAGGCCAGGGTTCGCTATTCCCCTAGCAGGCCTACAACACCCCCCTCCGTGATAAGCGACAGGGTGCTTGATCCGCTTCTGGCAGGTCACCTTGTTGGGCCCTGGAACCTGGATCGGGGTATAGCGCACCCAATTGTCCGGTGATCGAGAAGCACCAGTTTCGCTGGATACCTTCCCGGGTGTGTGTGCATGATTGAGGTTGAGCGTTCTGTGCTTTAGTGTCCCCTGTCTGTGGGAGGGTCCACTGCACCAACATGGAGGGCTGTGGGTTTCTACACACGTGGGTAGATATTTACATGGGTGAAAACTCACGTAGGTATCTACAAGCATGGATAGAAACCATATTGGTAAAAATCCACATGGGTAGAAACCCGCATGTGTGTCTACCCGCACGGGGTAGAAACTCATGTTTTTTAGACCCATGTGGGCATGTGGGTTTCCACCCACGCGGGTTTCTACGCACGTGGGTTTCCACCATGGCAGTGATCCGGACCTCCGGACAGGGATCCGGACCGTCCGGTGTCCAGTGAACGTGTCCGCATCCCGGTCCGGATTCCAGACCATTTGGCCAACTGGCAATTTTTTTTTTGGCTGTCCAGGGCGTTTCGTCTCGCCCAGGGCCGCCAGGCAATTTTTTTTTGGCCCTGAAGGGGCATCCGGTAGGGCCAGAATTTTTTTTTTTGCATGTGGGAAGTTTTCTTCCTTCTATGTTTCTGCCCGTTTGAATGTCGTCCTGGCATCGTGGCAGCTTCGTAGTGGGCACAGTCTTTGAATTCATCCTCCCGCCTTGCGAGTTCGGCCGCCCCCCCTCCCACAACAACGTTTGAGCTTGCATGCCCGCCACTACCACCATTGTCAGAGGGAGGAAGAAGCAGGGCAACGAGGCGGCCATAGCAGGTAAGGAGCGGACGCGGAGCAGGTGCAGGAGAGCTGGCAGTGGGTGCAGCGAAGGCCATGCAAGGAGCCCAGCAAGGAGCAGTGCAAGCAGCTCTCTCTCTCTCTCTCTCTCTCTCTCTCTCTCTCTCTCTCTCTCTCTCTCTCTCTCTCTCTCTCTCCTCGTTTTGTTGTCATGGTCTTCCTCCTTTCTGCTCCTCCATCCACCTCCTCCTTCTCCATGTCTGCGTCCTCCTCCCGCTCCTCCTCCTCCTCCTTGTCTTGGTCATCGTCATGTACTTGCTATAACCTCCCCCACTCCCTTCCCTGCTCATGCCACGTGGCACCCGTTCTCCTTCTTTTTCCGGAACTTTGTCGTCATGTTCCTCATCTTCATCCTCCCCCCGCTCCTCCCCGTCCACGTCTTTGCCCTCCTCCTGCTGCTCCTCCACGTCTTCGCCCTCCTCCCCCTCATCTTGGTTGTTGACATGTACTCACTATAACCTCCCCTCCCCGCCCCTACCTGTGCCTTCTCGTTGTTTTCAACCCATTTGCAGTACTTTGTATTGCAGTGTTTTTTTTTTTTTTTTTTATTTTTTTTTTTTTTTTTTTTTATTTTTAGATCCGGACATATACACCCATCCGGACAGGGATCCGGACAGGCCGATCTGGACATGTCCGGATTAACCGGAACATACCGGAAATCCGGACGTTCGGATGAAACCGGGAAATCCGGTTTCCGGTGTCCGGACTTGTCAGGTTCACTTGTCCGCCGCTGCCATGGTTTCCACACACATGGGTAAAACCCCACATGGGTAGATACTAGATACCCACATATGGGTAGAAATACATGTGGCCATGAAGTTACATGGGTAGATACCCACACATGGGTAGAAACCCATGATGTGGGCTGAAAACCTGAAACCCATGAACATTTCTACCCACATCTGTAGAAACCCATGAAGGCTTCTACCCACGTGAGGGTTCCTACCCATGTGGGCGGATACCCACGTGGGTTTCTACCCATACCCGCTCAGGTTTGTACCCATGGGCCATGTGGGTAGAGACCCACGTGGGTTTCTGCCTGTGTAGGTAGAAATCTACATGGGCATCTATCCACATGAGTAGATCCCCGTGGGTATCTACCCACATGGGAAGAAAGTTCAAGAAACCCATGTGGGCTTCTAGTCGTGTGGGTGTCTACCCACCCAGGTGGGCCAAACCCACGAGCATAGAAACCCATGTGGTGGTATCTACCCATATACGTAGCTAGATACCCATGTGTCCACCCACGTAGATCTCTACTCACGTGGGTTTCTACGCAGGTGGAAACCTACGTGGGTAGAAATCCACGTGCGCTTCTGCCCATGTGGGTATCTACTGGCATGAGTAGAAACGCATGTGGTTTTCTACCTACGTGGGTAGAAACCCACATAGGGGGACACCCAGATGGGTAAGAACCCACGTGGGTTCCTACACTAAGTAGTGCTACCCATGTAGTTTTGTACCCAAGTGGGTTCCAACCCATGTCACAAGTGGTTAATGGGGACCCCCACTTTCAGCTCCTGACTACCCAATTGGGTAAAAAACCCATATGGGTAGACACCAACATGTGTAGAAACTCACATTTGCATCCCCATGTGTGTAGGAACCCAAGTGAGTTTCTACCCATGTGAGTAGCAACCCAAACGCGTGGAAACCCATGACATCCCGCGTGTAAATATTCACCCAGGTATATGTGCGTATACGTCGGTATATGTGGGTATAAGAAGTGTCGGTGGGTTTATGCCGGCTTCGGTATATGCGGGTATACGTGGATGTCCATGGGCTTCTGGCCACGACCCCACGTTGGTATTTAAAACTCCTTTGAAGTGTCCTGTTCAGCAAATAGTTCTGGAAACTACTAAAAATGCTGTGGATATCACACAATAAAACAAACAATTGTTGTGGCATTCGTACTTGCTATAAATAACCACACAATGTGTATTCGCAAATTCTATGAATTAGATATGAGCTCAAGGACATGAGCACTACCAAAGGACAAAAAATAGCTATTTCAGGAATTCAGAACATTGCATGAAAGTGCTGAGGCTGAGCAACAGTGAAGGCTGCAATCACCTGAAAATGACGTGCGTATCGCACAATAATGTCAATAAAACAAATAATCTTTGCACCATTCGTACTTGCTATGAATAACCACACTATGGGCCTCGCTGCACTACTCTGGAAATGTGCAAAATGGCAGCGAATCTTCCGCTAGAACATGGAAAGAACCACCGCCATGATTTTTGTCTTCTGTGCATGTTGAAAGACCTTCCACGATTCAGACCCCAATTTCAGATCTCCGGGTCAGATGCCCGGGCCAAGAAAAGGCCGAGTTCGTCAAACTCAGAAAAGTCACAATCGGGTATCTCAGCAGTCTGGTCCAACAGGCACCCAGCAAACAGTCACATCTCAGGGACAAGAGTCACGTCCCATAATAAAAAGCCATTTAGAAGAGTCACATCCCACGAGTGAAAAGGCAGACTCACAAGCAAGAGTCGTGTCTCAAAGGCAGGAGTCACGTCTCATGATGAAAAGTCGTATTGAAGAGACACATCCCACAAGTAAAAGGTAGTATCACAGGCAAAAGTCGTGACCCACAGGCAAGAGACACTGTCCACAGTCAAAAGTCATGTTCACAAGTGAAAAGTCATGACTCAAGGGCCCAAGCAGCAGCAGTCCAATGGAAATTCGTGAAGGTTCCACGCCTTGACATTCAGTAGCCGACAGGCCGTGGGGATGTGGTACCGGAACCAGACAGGACCCAAGAAATAGGGGCTGGCACGAGTTGAAGTGCAAACCAAGACCATGAAAGGACTGGCCAGCCTCACATTCGGGCAGATTGCTCATTCGCAAGAGGTGTGGAAGTGCTGGTGCACTTGTGCGCTGAAGTGAGGAGCAGAGCGCTGAGGCCAGAGTGCTGCGCTAAGTGAGAGAGAGAGAGAGAGAGAGGAAGATAACGCTGGCAGGGAGGTCCATTGCAATGTCAAGAGTAGTGGAGCGACGCCCAAGGTGTATTACCAAACTCTATGAATTATATGTGAATTTAAGGACATGAGCACTCCCAAAGGACAAAAGTTGGCTAGTGCAGAACATTGCATGTAAGCGCCGAAGCTAAGCAAACAGTGAAGGCTTGCTTCTCCACAATTGTGCTCCGCTTTACTTCTACGCAACCCTTCCACACACCTCCAACACCCCCCCACTGGCTTTAAAAAAAAAAAAAGGAAAGCAATACTCAACACTTCTCTGCTTCGTCAGGCTCCTGTTATGAATGCTGCCACACATTCATGATTCATCTGCCTTCCATAAGAGAGGACACAGCGCTGTGCCTATGAAGATATTGTGATCATCCTCCAAATGGTATCTTCAACATCCCTCTGCTTGGAAGGCATCTGTCACATGCATGTCGCCACACACCTATCTTGACTTCCATAACAGAGAACACAGCGCTGTGCCNCCTCTGCTTGGAAGGCATCTGTCACATGCATGTCGCCACACACCTATCTTGACTTCCATAACAGAGAACACAGCGCTGTGCCGATGGAGACCCTAGTGCCGTAACTCCGCCTTCGGAGAGTGAAGCTGGGCACACACACACACACACACACACACACACACACACACACACACACACACACACACACACACACACACCTTCGAAACGTTTTCCCGGTGCAGAAAGCAACTGAGACTACTAATGCAACTGACAGGCCCAGCGCAGTTGGTACTCCTATCAACACAGTTGAAACACAGACCTGAGTACGGATTCCAATGGAATCAGACGAGTAAAAGCACCTATGAAATTGTCTGGGGCCGGTCAGTTCAAAGATGATATCTCAAGGTCGTCGGCCTTTTATCGAAGAGAAAACGACTACTGATGCAAACATGACAAACACCCCTTGGGGCAAAGACATCTTAAGTAAACATGTCACTGCGTCCCGAAAAGAGAATTAAGATTTCTATCTCGTGGAGGATGCAACAGCAACATGCACGAGAGAAGAGAACACAAGCAGCGGAATCAGTGCGCACAAATGAAAGTAGCACTGTAGCAATAATTTGTCTTACCTCCTCGATTCTCTGCGAACTCGGATGGGAGAGCAAACCTCGACACCACGCATCATCTGAAACAAGCAACACTACCGACATCTCCCATTCCGATACTCCAGGCTCGGGAGACGCTTCATGCATGCCGTGCACTTTTTCCGTTATACTTGTCGGACGCTTGTAAAGCCCATGCTGCACTTGACGCCATGCATTCAAACTGTATACCTACTGACATTCGCAGTCTATGCTCAGTCAGTGAACAGCTGGCAAGACTAAAACGTATTCCTTGGGAAAAGCAGGCAGTACTTGACTACATCTGCATGCACATTGCATGGTGACCTGAAGCACACACGTGGTAGGTTACGCATCTTGAACTGTTCTTTTCGATGACAAGGTTTAGAGGGACGTGGAGGCCTCAAACAACATGCGAAACATGCCCCTCAGAGATTCGGACACAACCAACGATCAGATGCAACCAGCAATAAACAGGTGTGCAAGTATCTGGGCAATCACTTAGATCAGGCCTCAGGAAACAGACCTTTGAATGAGATGGAATGAATGTTCTCTGCTTCACTGCGGTGAGAGGTGTGATCCAGGATTGACAGCCATTCTTCACCTTCTTCACGTGACATCGACATTCTTCGCCAAAACAAGGAGTTGAATCCTGAAATACAAAATGATTTTGATGAACCCAGCTAGCTTGAGAAAAGGAAAAAGAAAGAAAACTCTTTCACCCCCAGTCTCCTATCCGGACCTACCATCACAGTGCGCAGCCAAGCTCAGCCAAGGTCAGCGTCGTCGGAACGAGTTCACTATTGCATACCATTCCTATCGACTGGTGGTGATTTGAAGAGAACAGAGAGAAGCCATCCCTAGTAAGGGAGTAGGACTGGGATGGGTCAACCTATGGTGGACCGATTGTCATGCCAGTGACATTGCCGGGTAGCTACGTTGGTATCGGAGACCCACGTCTGAATCCCATGAAGGCGCGGAAGCGCGTAAAAAAAATGACTGTCTTTGCGAATACGGCTACAGAGTGTTTTTTCACAAGGTCGTGCGTTGTGATGCAATTGATCCCCACATACCAACGAACAGACCATGCTGACCTCATTGCTGAACAAAACAAACTCTAGCAAGAGAGGCGACGATCAATCTTCCACACAAACTTCACAGTACCAATGAGAGCGGGCAATCAATCCTCCATACGAACTTCAAAGGAACCGAGAAATAGCCCGGTTGTTTAGAGCACCCACCCTTCATCTATCTCTGCAATAGGAAATTGTGTGCAACACAAGCTTCCGTCGCTAGGAATCCGCAACCTTCTTTGTCCCTATGAAAGGAACATAGCCATCGATCAATATGTGTGCCGCCGTGATCTGCTAGTCAGAGCAGCAGAGTGGTCATGAACCTCGAAAACCGAGACTGCTTTTTCCTGGAATTGAGTCCCAGTACATTCCAGTACATTCTGACGATCGATTTCACCATACATTGCTTATGCCGTTGCTCCAACCCACTTGATTCTCTTCATCCAGTCTCACATATAGCCAGCCACTCCACCATAATCACATTTGAAAAAAATTTGAAGTTTGCGATGGTGGTACCCTTTAGGTCCCGTACTTTGTCGACAACAAAACGTAAACCACCAGTACCTTTCCCCACTTGAAAATCAATTCCGCGCTGGGTAACACGGAAGCCAAGCGGGACCGGACCGCCACTGATAAATTGAATCGGTGGCTCGTTTTCCGTTTCGCCAGTTGAGGCCATTTGATTTTTTTTCCACTGCCCATGACCGATATATGGGAAAGGTACTCTGGTGGTTTAATCATGGAATTCGTCACTTGACACTCAATTTATTCTCATTCGAGACCAGTTTTAAATAAGTATCATGATCATGATCATGATCATGATAGCGGAGCGAACTTCCTACCGCTGGTACCGGCACTCCCCAAAGTGGACCCTGTGGTACCGCTGACTGCCTGCCGGTTCACATCTGCCCGCTACCCTCACAACGAAATGCTCTACTGATTAGCATGCCCTGATACGGCGAACGAATGCCCTAATCAGCGTATGTTAACATGTACCGGAACAACACAGGAATGCACAGACGACTGAGGTGAGAAGTACTATACTTGTGGGCAATGCAATTCTTCAATCACCCACTCCACATCCACCTCTACCCTCAGAGAGGCATTGTCTGCCAGTTGGCATGCCCTGAAACGACAACGCAATGCTGTAATCAGCTCGTTTCGTGTTGCTAATACATCGCAACGATGTGCTGCACTCACCAACAGCTGCCAGTGAAACACACACACACACACACACACACACACACACACACACACACACACACACACACACACACACACACACACACACATTCTGGAACAGCAGAGAGGAATGCAGAGAGGGCGGAAGTCNCCCCCCTTCCTCTTCAATCGTCCACTCTGCTCACCCCTCTTCGTGCAAAGCATCCATCCGCTCTTATGCAGTAACTCCAACTTCCATAATCTTACTTGCTGGGACGCGCTGCCTGTGTTCCACAAACGTAGACGGGAACCATCCGGCCTTACCTTTGCACTCCCCTTCTGCCCATCCCGTCCCGGTCACCTGCAAGCACGGATCCCATTCATCCAGCCACTGTGAGATCCGGAGCATCTGAACCAAATGCGAGAGCCAGCTATCCCAAAACGTTGTATATGCAAAGCACAACACATGTGGCTGAGTAACTGTTCATGAACACCTAGCGGTCACTAGCATCTGATCCGGAAGCGATCACAACGATTCAATATACGGCAAGGGACCGCCCTGGGCCCGTCTTTTGAAAAACACCTACAAGAAGCAGCTTCCTAATGAGTTCAACTTATAATTTTTCTAGTTCATGGTCCTGTGACGTGGCTAGTGGGATTGTCCAGTTGTGGTTTAGCGTTCTATTGTTTGGTTTAAGGCTCGCCGAGCTCCTCCCCAGTTTTTTAAAACTTCTTTTTCGTTTAATTTCACAGAGTCCTTTTGTCTTAAGACTCCAGAGTCCAGACCCCATAAGAGTTCGGTTTTTTTTTTTTTCCTCTGTGGGTCTTGATTAATGTGTGTCATCCTTGTGCAGGGACCATGCTAATCTTTTCTGTATCGTAACTATCGTTCCAATTTTGTTGAATGTCCCAAATGACAGACCCATAATAAAGTTCTTTAATGGCCCCAAAGGGCCTAAACCTGAGTTCCACATTCTCTAGTGGCATCACATCTTCTAATTTCATTGCAGGGTTTCCCTTTCGGTCAATGACCCAAATCATATTGACATATTCCCCATTTGGCTTGTATACTTTTGTTTTCTTTTTTTTTTTGCCCCCCGTGTACTGTTGCTTATGCCTCTTTAAAAAAAAAAAAAAAAAAAAAATTTTTTTTTTTTTTTTTTTTTTTTTTTATAAAAGAGGCATAAGCAACAGTGCACGAGGGAGAAAAAAAAAAAAGTACTGTGGTTTTCAAATTGTAGCAAAAAAAAAAAAGAAGGTATTGTGGTTTTCAAATTTTAGTATTTTTTTTTTAGTATTTGAAAACCACAATACTTTTCTTTTTTTTTTTGCCCCTCATGTACTGTTGCTTATGCCTCTTAAAATGTAAAATTTGAAAAAAAACACAATTGCCCCCAACTGTCTTTTGCCGACCTGACACTTCTGACCACAGGTTCCCCGCTCCTGATTCCCTTGCAGTCATCCATTCACTGAGGGAGGTATGTATGATTTAACCTGCTTTCTTGCGGAGCTTTACCCGCCGGTTACCTAGGCTACCAGCCGGGCCGCCCGGGTCCCCGGTGGCCAGCCCGTGCAAGGACCAGGGAAGGCCCCAGCAAAAAAAAAAAAATAAAAAAAATCCCAAAAAAAACTATGTTATGCAGAAAGATAAACTGAACAACTTTTGCCTCAGGGTCACATCGAAATTCTTCACCAAATTTAGAATAAAAAATAAAATTTAAAAATATTTATTTCATTATTATTATTTTATTATTTTTTGGCCCGGCCGGGCAAGTGACCCCGGGCCACTCTGGTAGCCTAGCTGGTTACATAATAAATTAACTGTCAGGCTATCGGGGGAATCTGTGGTCCGAACCTTAGGAGTCTGTCGGATCCCGCCGAGCTTTACAGCTGGTTAAATAATACATTACCACCACCACAAAGCAGGGCCTCCTTTGTGACCAAGTGCTGTTAAACACAGTGGGACCAGATTTTCCCTTCTCTGACTCCCCAAAACCGTTAGGGTCTGAATCTCGTTAGACTCAGCAGGTCAAGTCCACATGCCACATGTACAGGTCTACAGGTCTGAACCTCGTTATAATTCTCTGGCAGGTTTACTTTCAGAACAAGGGAGGGAAGTCTAAGGCTTTTTTGGGTGACGAGGGTTGGGGGTGGTAGGGGCCCTGGAAGAGGCGTGACTTCGTGCGCATGGCAGCCATGATTGATATTGGTTTGGTCTTGGTCTATTCGCGTTACTTGGGTTCTTCGGTTTTTCTCGATGTGAGGTTAGAAGAAGTGTTTTTCAGAAATCTTATTTAACCTTCTGGAATGTTCTTAGCTGAAGCCCAGGTAACGGCCCGGCCCCACCACCTCCAATCAATTTTTGTGTATTCACACGAGGGACGCTGAGCCCGGATCCCAGCACGTGTTGCTTGCTCCCCACGAATAGATTGGAGCATGGTGCTCCACAGCCCCCCTCTTTGAAGTTCTTTCACATATTCAAATTTCAAAGATTTCTCTTTATTACAATTCTCTGCTAGAAGTTCAAACTGGAAAGAATCTTGCTCTATTAGGAAAAAGTCTAACAGAGAAATTTCACAAATTCAAATGTCAAAGTCTAGCAGAGAATTGTAAAGAGAAATCTTTGAAATTTGAATATGTGAAAGAAAAGTCTAGGAGTTCAAACTGCAAAGAATCTCTCTCTATTAGGAAAAAACTTAAAAAAAGACAAAATAGTAACATACCATAGTTGCGGCGCATCACATGCGCACACGTGCGCGCGCACGCGATGCGGCACATTTAGAAAATAATTAAAAAAAAAAAATCGGAAACGGTACGTCGTCGTACCCAAAAGTGTCCCTCCCTTTTAAAAAGGTAAGTACACAGAAAGAGAATATTTTGGGGCCCCGTCGTACTGCTCATTGGTTTGATTCTCCTTTCCAAAAGTACCCTACAAGCAATTAGCAGGGTTTCCATAACCATTGGAAGGATATGCATTGTGCATTGGACTGTTGGAACACCACGAGTAGGCCAGCAATATATCCCGGATTCGGATTCAGGTCCGTGTTCCAAGAGTTATGGGTTACGAACTTACCACAAACACTCCAGTAGTTGTCTCGTTTCCCCCCCCCCCCCTTTTCTTATGTGCAGTGGCCCTAACGGCCTCGCTCCACTCATCAGCACTTGCAGAAAAGAAAAACGTATGGCCTGTATGGATCCAGTTTCTAGGAGAAGATTCATTCTAGTTTTGCACATACAGTGAGTAGTGGAATGAAGCCCTCAAAATCACATGCCGAGTTAGTAAGTCAGTAACCCATAACTGCTGAAACAGAGAGACGGTTAACGGAGGCCTTAGGGCTGAAAAGTGGGGGTCCCTGAGATCGAAGCTACACCATATGTAGCTGGCCAAAAAACTTACGAAGGTATTAAAAAGTAATAACAAAAAACTATTGAAAGGGTTACATAGTCGGACCCAAACTTCTCATATAGGTTTTAGCCTTTTCTGGATAGGTTCAGGGATTCCAAATTAAAGTCAAATGTGCAAGGTCCAGTTCTATTTATAGCTCTCCGATTTTGCTAAAGCCTCTGCGGGACTTTTCTTCTTAAACCACAGGGCAGGTTTCAGACTCGTGTACACCATTGTTAAAAGCTCTCCAGGTTCATTATGGGTTCTTTTGTTTTAGTTTTGGGTATTAGATGCCTCTGAGTTCCAATCCCCTTTTTTTTTTTTTTTTTTTTTGGAAAGGGCGGCGATCTTTAGATACCATGATTGAACAGACCGGCCCCAGGCAATTTCAGAATCATATTGTTCTTTTCATCTGGAGCGTGGTCCCATTAGCAGTCAGAGAGGAGTGTGGGCGATGCAGTGTGCCACTGTGTGGCAGCAGCCTGACGGGTTCATTACGAATTTCTGGGCTGAGAAAACAGAAGAAACGCAAAAAAAAAAAAAAAAAAAAAAAAAAAAAAAAAAAAAAAAAAAAAAAAAAAAAAAAAAACCCAGAGACCTCCCACTGGAAATCACGGCCGAGTGCTTGCTGGGCATCAGATCACAAATGATCTGATGATACAAATGATCTATTGATGGTGGTGGTTGCCGCAACAACAGTGAACAAAGTAACTGCCACATTTTTCTGGAATAAACTCGACTGCTGTCAGCAGTGATTATGACACCCTCCATATACTCAGTGATTGAAGGAGGGATCCACCCAATCAGACAATTGCACAACAGCAAGCAAAATACTGATTGAAGAAGGGGCATTTTTGTTATTAAAAAAAGAAGAGAAGAAAAGAAAAGAAAAAAACATTCCCCCTTTATCAAGGGGGGAAAAAGGACCATACCTGGCGGACAACTACGAAGTCACCCTTGGTCAGTGTCATTTCACCTACTGTCTCTGCTTCGAAAGGAAACATAACCTGGGCAAATAAGAAGAGAAGAGAAATAAAGGCAACATAGTCAGACCGGTGGTGCTGATTAAACAGAATATAATAACAATACTTTCCGAAAGTCGCAGACTGCATTTTCATTAAGATATGAAATGGACGTATGGCCAATGGCAGAGGAGCAATGCATAAAGGGGAACTACCCTGTGGGAGTGCAAGGTGGTTTGGCCATGACGAAAAGGAAGTTGTCTCACTCCATCCCTTATTATCTACACCACTCACTGAACTATGATCAATAGTCCGAATCCTTTTTCTCCTCTCCCTCCCTCCAATTTCTTGGGAAAACACACACCTAACATTTCCAAAGACTATCTGATACGACAAGTCAAGGACTATCTGAAACAACAAGTCGAGGATCCGATACATGGAATCGCAAACAGCCATACAGATACAGATTGAAACACAATGAAGTGCTCACTTGCGTCCCATCAAAACTAAACGCCTGTACCGCCATGTGACCCCACCGACTGAGAAGCCAAATGCCAGTTCCTGTCCACAGACTGCCGAGGAAATCTAACGGAACACTGCAAATTTTGCAAATGATTCAGGAAGTTCTCGACAAGTATTTGAACACACACACACACACACACACACACACACACACACACACACACACACACACAAGCATTCTTGTGTATGTATGTATTTCTTCTTTCTTGATTTTTTCTTACACTTTTTATATGTCGAGGTCAGCACCTTTAAGAAGTGCTAAATAGTTGGCAGCTGGGTGTTTTGGAATGCCTGCAGGACTCTGTCTGTCCATATGATGTCTGTCGTACATGAGGCCAATGTGTGGATGATAGACGTCGATCGGAGTACCTTCCTGACTCAGCAGGTGGTGGGAACCAACAGTGTGCGCGGTTCACTTGCAACGTGAGTTGGCTCTGTCTGCCTTCCCGCCTCCCCCGTGCCCTCCGGCCTATGTGTTGGCTCCCTGCTCTTGCCTTGCTGCTTTGCCTGGTTGTTTCTTGGTTGTTGTTTATTGTCTTCTCCATCCTGGTGGCCTTTTCCTTTACCGCCTTATGTCCTTGGGTTTACTCATGTTTAGTCTGCCCTCCCACATCCGCTGTGCCCCCCCAGCCTATGTGTTGCATACCGTGAAGGTGCAGACCAGAACAAGAACCGACCTCTCTCACAAAGTACAAGATAGCATAGCGGAAGACTTAGATACCAATGATCCGAACAATCAATGTTGCAATGCAGCCCCAAACATACATCATCATCATTCCATGGTGTGAAGGGGCCTGGCGCTCACACAGGAAGAATGCGCCAGTCCCCAACCATACACAGACGAAGAAGGGGGAGGTTAGACGAAGAAGAGGGGAAGATGGGAATGTCGTCAACAACAAGTCTTTGGCACAGGCCCCAAATAATCCCTCGTCAAATGTCTGAATCCCAATGTCGAGTCTGGATCCAATGTCGTCAAGTCCCAAAGTCACAACTCTCTCTCTCTCTCGTAGTCCGCAGATCCTGAGAAGTCAGGTAGCGAGAGGGTGAAGAAGAGATGGTGGACTTAGAAGAGGAAGAAGAAGAACTGTGGCAGACTGCGTAGCCACACGGCCCCCGTAGGACCCGTCCCGGACATTCAGCCTAAAAGCCTAAAACTTAGGAGCTACAGGCCCCGGTCGTTTCAGCCTGAAAACTGAAAAACGAGGGCCTGCAGGCCCTACTCCGTTTCAGCCTATTTCTGGGTCTTTCAGACCCAGAGTTTTTCCAGCCTGAAACGGAGGGCTATTCTTAGGCCCTGGGCTATTTTTAGGCCCTCATTTGTTTCGACCTGCCCTAAGATTCAGGCACGAAAACTGGGTTTCGGAACAGGCTATTTCTGGCCTGTTCCCACGCCAGCTCGAGCAGGAGCTGCTGCTGCAGCCCCTGCCTCCCTGCAGCATTATTGGCAAGAGCACGAGCAGGAGCTGCAGCTGCAGCCCCTGCCTCCCTTCGGCATTATTGGCAAGAGCACGAGCAGGAGCTGCAGCTGCAGCCCCTGCCTCCCTTCGGCATTATTGGCAAGAGCAGCCTCCTGGACTGCTCGCCCGAGTCAGGAGGCACCCGTGATAG